AGTATCAAACACAATGAGATATTGAGAGTCCAGGAATCTCTCACCGGTGTTGCATTAAATAGCACCTGTTAACAGAGATTGGGCAGAGCAAGTGTGTTCCAGGGAAGTTCTGCCCTTGTGGAGAAACGTTAAGTTAGCAAAGTTACTACATATAGCTTTCCTGACTTACAAACTGAACCACCCTGCTCAGAAACTCACAGAAAGTTTTTAGAATGAGTTGGAAGGGTGTTGGGGAATAGGGAGAATGGGGACAATGGGAGGCTCAGTGAGAGCGGTGGCTCTCAGTGTCACAGAAGGGTGTTAGCGTGATCAAAATTGAACTCCCCCAACTGATGAGGTCTGAGACACAGACCTTACAGGGAATGGCAAAGACTCTGCTTGCAGGGACAGACATAAATATGTACTAACTATACAGTAAGATGGGTAACAATTCCAAATAGAAGCTCCTCTTCTTCACAAACCAGAATGGGCCCCATTGTCTTTGCAGTTACATTTGCTTTGTTTCCAACTTAACATTCTGGTCAAGTATTCAAATCTCTCCTTGACCAAAATCGCTTCTATCTAGATGATATCAACTGACCTACAAAGTTCTTTACTTCATTTCCCAGTGAAGAATTCTGCCATGAAATGAATGTTTGGGCTTCCCAAAATCACATGTTGAAATCCCATCTTGCGGTGTGACGCTATCAGGAGACGGCAGTCTTTGGTTGATAATTAGTTCATGAGAGCAGAGGCTTCATAAATGAAAGGGATGAGAAGGGCAGGCATTCAGTACAGCAACTAATGTGCCACTTGAGAACTCTGTATCCCATATTGTGATGCCAAGGTTCAACTTCTGCTCTCTTTGATTTCAATCAGTAAATGACGGCTGAAGTGGTTGTGTCCTTGTAATTCACTCGGGAGATTCAGAGTGAGTTCTTAACTCCTGGCTTTGGCCTAACTTAGCCCTGGAGGTTGGGGGGGGGGCGCGTATTTGGAGAGTGAACCAATTGATAAAATGGTCTCTCTTTCTCTGAATTGGTTCACATCCCAAAAGGTTGCAATAGCTGCAACTGAACCAGGCAGAAGGTAAGAGCCTGGAATTCTCTTTGGATTGCCCACGTGGGTAGCAAGACCCCAAGTGCTCAGACCATCTCCTGCGGATTTTCCAGGAGAGTTCACAAAGAGAGTTTGAAAGCAAGTAGCATTTGAGATGTGGGCATCACAAGTGGAGGCTTGACCTGGCATGCCACAATGCTTGCCCTGCAAATGACATTAAGGAAATTTAACAAAGTTAAATGCTCAACTAACTTGCAACATTAATAAAGATTAAGTCAAGATGAATTTTTAAAAGATTTATTATTTATTTTTATTGCAAAGTCAGATATATATTGAGAGGAGGAGAGACAGAGAGGAAAATCTTCCGTCTGATGATTCACCCCCAAGTGAGCACAATGACTGGTGCTGCATAGATCCGAAGCCAGAAGCAAGGAGCTCCTCCAGGTCTCCCGTGTGGTTCAGACTCCCAAGGCTTTGGGCCATCCTCGACTGCTTTCCCAGGCCAGAAGCAGGGAGCTAGATGGGAAGTGGGGTTCCTGGGATTAGAACTGGCGCCCATATGGGATCCTGGTTGTTGAAGGTGAGGACTTTAGCTGCTAGGTCACAGTTCCGGGCCCCTAGAAGATAAATGCTAACAGGAGATGGCAGCGAAAAAAAAAAACATAACGAATGTGTTTTGTCTGAATTGAAGCAGGAAAGAGTACCAATCTTGACTATATTCTAAGCATGTTTGAAATATTATGAATAGATTCTAGCTACTCAACTTTCAGAGCTATTGAACGCATAGGCTTCAGAGGGAGTGGAAAAAATATGGAGAGAGATCCTTGTCTCAGTGTGTCAGAGACAGGATCCAGTGTTATACATGAGCAAATGATTGGAAGGGAAGCAAAGTGGAAAGTGTGTGCTGTCATTTTATCTACTTCAAGAGGACAGAAACAGGGCCCGTGGGTGAAAGTTGACAAGGGAGCCCTTGGGTTAAAACTAGAGTTTCATAGTAGTAAGCTCTTTTGGCACACAGCATTTTCTTTCTCCCTAGCGGTGTTCAGGCTGGGCAGATGCTTAGCTGTCACGACATAGGAGCAAAGATGCTGCTGCAGGTGGGAGAATGGAAATCCATCAGCCCTGTGGTTTTATGAGTTCTGACAATCACTGTTTCTACCTGAATAGTTCTGATAACTATGAAATAGACTTCCTTGCTTAAAAGTTTTGTTTTTGTTTATTTTTTTTTAACATCAGGCTACAATTTGAGCTTGTTCTGCCTTGAGAAATACAAAGGAAGGTGAAACCATAGCTTTCGTTAAGTTGTTCAGGAGAACTGAGTTTAACTAAAATGTTGATGTCATTCAAAGATTGTGTTCTTGACTGCCCTGACTGTCCTTTTTCCTAGTTAGTGCTCTGAATACTGTTTGAAACAAGATTATTTATTTATTTTTTTGGTTAATGTTCATATTGAAGTTTCTATCTGATCTGGCTCAGGACGTCAGAGTCAGAAATAGCTGCAAAGAGTTAATGCCTTCCATTTGAGGTCAAGATTGGTTTTCGAGATTAGAAGCAAGCCTGAGATTGCCTGTGAGAATCTAGCAATCATTGCCGTAGCAAGGACATTAAGACTGAGAATACTGATGTGTCTTCCTCATGCTGCGTGTTACTGGTGATAATGACCTTTGAGGCAGAGGTTCAAGCTTCAACATTTTTGACTTTTTAGGAGAATTTACGAGCTTTAATGGCTTGAGACCTTTTCAATGCTAGCTTTCATGGCTTCATGATTTCCTATGCCTTGGTGTTGCGTTCTTTTGTTGTAAATCAGCTTAGATCAGGAGGTAGGAATTGTTTCTTAAAATCCATATGTATTTATTTTCCTCTGTTTGAAAAACAGAGTGGCAGAGATACAAAGACATACACACATACACAGGGAGAGAAAAAGAGAGAAGGAGAGAGAGAGGAGAGAAAGAGAGGGAGAGAGAGAGAGAGAGAGAGAGAGAGAGAATCTTCCATCGCTGGTTCACTCCCTTAGATACCTCCAAAAATCAGTGCTGGACCAGGCCAAAAGCCGGGAGCCCAGGATCATATCTAGGTTTCCTATGTGGGTTGCAGAGAAACAAGTACCTCCAGGATTCGTTAGTAAGACAGCCAGGACACGAACTGGCACTCATATGGGATCCTGGTGCATGCAAGGCGAAGACTTTAGCCTAACGGCTACCATGCTGGGCGCCTCAATAGAGGCGAGGCTTGGATATCTGAGGATTCCTCTTACTCCCAGAACTTCATGATGATGTAGAAAGAGATAATATCTTGGGCCCGGTGTGATGGCTCAGTGGCTAAGGTCTTTGCCTTGCATGCCCAGGATCCCATATGGGCGCTGGTTCTAATCCCGGCTGCCCTACTTCCCATCCAGCTCCCTGCGTGTGGCGTGGGAAAGCAGTCAAGGACGGCCCAAAGCCTTGGGACCTTGGGACCCTGCACCTGCGTGGGAATCTCCTGGCTCCTGGCTTCAGATTGGCTCAGCTCAGCTCCAGCTGTTTTGGCCACTTGGGAAGTGACAGATCTTGCTCTCTGTCTTTCTTTCTCTGTATATCTGACTTTAATAATAATAATAAAAAAGAAATAAAATAAAAATAAATAAATATTTTAAAAGAGAAGGAAGAAACACTGAAATTATGTATGTATGATCACATGTATGTAACATGCATTCCAAATTATAAAATGTTTTGTGTTCATTGATTCTTCTTCTTAAGAAAAAATCCATTCAAGTTGAAGACTTTAGGCAGCTGACTTCTGAATTTCTCCCCTGCACAAAAGGGCAGAGGTGATATGGAGAACCCAGGAAGTTAAGCCGGACTGGCGGGCATGGTGGGTTGGTGAGGGTGGTAAGGCCAGAGTCGCAGGGGGCAGGATCCGACCCAGGAAGGATGAGTCCACCGTGCCGGGGCTCGTTTGATTGTGCTTCTGGGATCCAGGGGAACCACTGCTCCCCCCCACCCCACCCCACTATTATGGCTTACACAGATCTATGACCTAAGCTTGGACTCCTAATTCAGAACAAGCAGCTACCGTGTGGTAGAGTCAGTTGGGCTGCAACACTGACATCTGCCAATAAAATGCTGGTTCAGTCCCCAGGGCCCTTCAGATTGTTTCCTGCTGACGCACCTGGGGAGACCTGAATGGAACTCCTGGCTCCTAGGGTGAGGTCCGAGTGCAGTTGCCAGAGCTCTGTGGGGTGTCTGCAGGTTAACCCCTGCTCGGCGTTACTGTCATCTTTCGCTAATTGGACGGGTGGAATGGGATGGGGTCTACTAACCTTGGTGAGCCTGCAGGACACGTGTGAGGTCTGCCTCAAGCAACACACGCAACTATTACGTTAGAGGTCCTTTTCTGTTCTTTGCTCTGAGCTATGCCTGACAGATACAGATAAGAGTAAGGTAGGATCTGTGGCCTCAACAGAGCATACTGGCCACTGAAGGGAAAACAGGCTTTTTTCACTCAGGTGCAGGTAAGTTCGCTGATGCCGCGTTAGCTGCAACAACAAAAGCTGTGGCATGGAGAGACACGAGTGATGAAACAGGTCACAGGGTTACTGCGGGGATTATAACAACAGAAAAAAAAGGACACAGAGGTTAGGGGGTCTCAGCTTTGGTTCTGACTGAGCCAGGGGTGTCTGGCCGGCTGCAGAGCGTGAAGCTCTCTCCGCTCAAGAGCCGCTGGTTCTCCGCAGCCTCTCACTCGTCTCGCTCGGCTGAGTCAGGAGGAGTTTCTGCACGGGTTAGGTGGTGCTGCGGGTTGGCCAGCGAGCCACCAGCCTCAGGTCCGGCGCGCGCCTGCGATTGTGGCGGCGGGACTCGTCGGCGGTTTACGGCAGTGGGCGGGCCCCAAATCCCCATGTGGTCCCGACATCATTGACATGGCGGAATCCCCCAGCAAACCCTCCTGGTAGTTATTTGAGCGGCGGCGGCGGCCGGAGGAGGAGGAGAGCGGCGGCGGGAGCGGCGGAGGGGGCGGCAGGGATCGTCCAGGCAGCCCGGCGGCCAAGGCGTGGGCGACGCGTGTGCGGCGCGCCCGGAGCCCCGCGTTCCAGCCCCAGGGAAGGTAAGGTGTGCGGGGCGCCCGGGGGGGACTGGGAGCCCACCGGGACCCCGCGCCCGGCCGTGCGCTGCGGGCGCGCTGGAAAGCCCCGGCCGGACGCCCAGCGCGCCCCGGTGCGTTCCCGTGCCGGGAGCCCTGCGCGCTGCCCCGGGAAGCACTCGGCTGCAGCGTGCGGGGGGAGCCCCGGGAACCCGGGAGGGGGCGGCCTCTTGCCTGTCCACCGCCCCCCACCCACTCTCCATCCCGCCGGGCCCCTCCCCAGCCCCCCGTCACCCCCCGGCCTTTGCTCGCCGGGGTCTGGAGGAGGCGAAGAAGGGATGCACGGCTCGGGAAGGGAAGGGCGGCCGGGCAGCGCGCCCCCCCATGCCTCGCCCCTCCGGGCCCAGCCTCCCCCGGCCGCGGTCGGTCCGAGGAATCCGCTCCCCCCGCCAACCCCCGGCCCCGGAATCCCCGCGGCAGGAACGCCGCCGGGAGGGGGAGGCGCGCGGCCGGCCGAGGAATCTCCGACGTGTCACTTTCCGAGGCTGTAGATTTCCATATGGTGGAGGGAGGGGGCGCGCGTGCCAAGCGGGGCTGCGCGGCGCTGGCCGGGAGGGTCCGGCGCCCGTGCCCTGCGGCCCCTTGCCTTCCCCCACCCACTACCCTCCCCCCCCCCGGGCCGGCCCCTCTCCGGGACAACTCCCCGCCTCGGCGGCCGCTGGCCACCTTGGAGCGCGCCACGTCCTCCCTCCCCGTCCTGCCTCTCCACCCTCCCCTCCCACCCCCTCTCTCTCTCTCTCTCTCTCCAGGCTCCCCCCCGGGCTGGGGGCGGTAACCGGCGGCCGCGGCCGGACTTGGCGAGCCAGGCGGCTGGGAGCTCGGGCGGGGGAGCGGGGCGCGGCGGGAAGGCGCGGGCGACCCGGAGCGTGGCCAGCGGAGCTCCGGTCAGTCGGTCACCCCGAGGGGCGCCGCGGCCGGGGGTGGGGCGGCGGCGGGCGGCCGGGCGGAATCGGTGCCTCGAGGCGGCGGTGGCCGCGACGGGCCGGGGTTCCGGGGGTTCCGGGGGCTCCGGGGGCTCCGGGGCCCGTGCGCACCCGTCTGGTGCCCCGCGGCGGGGCGGGGGCGGCCGGCCGGCGTGGGAAGGGCCTGTCACCCTAGGCGGAAAGCTGGGCCTCAGGCTGTGCCCGCCAACTTTCCGCCTCGTCCCGGGGAAGAAGGTGCCAGATTCGGAGGGCCCGGCGTCCTGGGAGACGGGGCCCGGCCGCCCAGGCGCCGTTGGCGGGGAAGCTTCCCGGAGTGCATGGTTGCAGTTGGGAGATTTTCGAATCACAGCTCCCACCCTGCCCTCCCAGACGAGGGGAAGCGCTGGCAGTTTTTCCAGACAGTGCCATTTGCAGACTTCCTTCGAAGTTACAACTTTTTTCTTCTCTTTCTTCTTCAGCCCAGCATTTACTTTTAAAACAAAATGTAGAATTTGGCCGCGTTGGGTCGGGCCGGGGCCAGGAATTCCGAGTGTCTCCCGCATCCCCACGGGCTGCTTGGTGGTCGTACCCCCACTCCTGCTCTCCCGGGGGTCATCATATTTTGGAACTGGCGATTGCTTTTGTTGGGTGGGCACCCCCTGATTGCTTGTCTGTTTACTTTTTAATGTGCAGCTGATTTGATTTGACTGTTCTCCAGCTTCCAGGCCTTGCTAGGGAAAGCTGAAGCAGAGGGAATCAGCTACTTTTTTTCCCCCTTGTTTCTTTCTTTTCTTTTTAATGAATGTGGCAAGAGGTGGGGCATTAGGAAAGGGGAGGCACCGAGGTTGTGGCACAGAGTCAGAAGGAGCAGACAGACCCGGAAGAAGAGGAATCCGCTTTGGAATAACACTTTTTTTTTTTTTTAAGGCTCCAGGCCTCGGGCAAAATTGCACTGCTCTGTTCTGATTTCTGTTGCTGGAATGGTTACTCCACCTCTCCAAAGTTAAGGTTGTGCCATGGTGGGGAGGTGTTGGGGGAGTCAGGCACTGCCTGCAGAAGCCCCTGTCCCATATCTTGTGCCTCTGGTGGAGGTCCATGGTTCTCCCTGACTGGAGGCTGACCCCGAATCCAGCATTAATTTCCGGGCTCCTTCAGAGTGGCTGTTAAGGAGGGTAGCGTCTTGGGGTGAGTTCCTGGCTATGCAAGGGAATCTTCACCCAAGAGGGCACAAGTCTCACTTTGTTCAGACCCTAGAGGGGCATCTACATGCTGGATAAGAATGAGGTATGGCTGTTGGGGAAAAAAAAAAGTCATTATAAATTGTCTTTAAATTTCCATGTGCTTTTAAAGTGTTTTGGTTTAAATGCTTTTGAGAGGGGGAATCATCTGTAAAGACAGTGTTCATTTAAAAGAACTGTTGAAGCAGCAAGATCTCATGAACCATGGGGCTGTAGCTTCTAATTACAGTATATACAATGTCAGAAAGATATTCCGGTAATCTTTTAAGACAGACTTTATAAATAGCTCCCACCAGAGCATGGGGTTGTGTTGGAGAGCCAGTCTTGTGGGGTTTCTGGCAGAACACTCGGCATGGTTACAGAGCCCTCAGAGACTAGGCAGTCAACTGCTGAGGCTCAGTGCCCCTTTTACCGCTTGCTCTTTGCATGGATGCCATGTGAGAGGGTCTTTGGAAGTTGGACAGAACATCCCTAACTTTTCAGTTGAGGGAAATGAGGTCTGGGGAAGGGCAACTGACTTGAGGTTTGAGATAATACTCCCAAGTCCAAGGTAGGGTCTTATTCATGACAGCTTCAAGGGTATCTGGCACTGCTGACCGCCATAACCTGAGCTTTTTCTGTGCCATTTCATCAGAGTCTTTCCATTTAGGTGGCATTCAGGGTACTTTTAGGAATGAGGGCATGAAGAGGAGAGAAGCTAAGTGACTTGCGGTGCAGTTATCAGAAGGGCAGTCCAGTAGGATTTTCTTCAGGGGTGGAAAGGGTTCTGTGTTGCATGGGTGTGCAAACAGGAAGCCTGTGTTAGGGTTGCAACCGTGGCAAGTGGAATGCTTTAACTTTTATTGGCTTTAATGATTTTAAACGTGTATTGCCACTCGTGGCAAGTGTTACTGAATTGAAGAATGGAGTGGAGGACTTTCTGACTCCCAAGTCTGTTCTTGCTTGTAACTGGGTCGTACTGCTGGTTTGATCTAGTTCAGTTTCTTCTCTGACACCAGCAGGCTCAGCCAGGCTCTGCAGCTGAGCTTGGCGGTGGCGTGGAGTATCCCTCACCTCTGCTTTCATGTGCCCAGTGGATAAAATAAGCATGCTATTATGGATTTTAAGGGCTCGTGTGTCAGTAGGTGAGCAAAATACTACTGTTTTCTCATCCAGCTGGATAAATTTATATAAAATTTGCTGGAAGAAAAATGAAACTTTGTTTAGTGTAATGGTAGTGTAATTAACGAGTACAAATAGGCAGCATGAGAAGTCACTAACAGTGATCCATGCGTCTGATCATGGGGCATTTCTTTTCAAATGATTTCATAAGTGCCAAGTGAGCAATCATGCACTTTTAACAAAAAAGGTTATTTTCCTGCCCCCCCCTTTAAAAAATTTGAAATGCATAATAATGTAGTGGAGAGAAAGTTCTGCCATTTACTGATTCACCCCCTAAAGGCCCCCAGCAGCTAGGGCTGTGCCTAGGTGAAGCCAGGAAATTGAAACCTCAATTCAGATTCCCCAGAGGAGGGGTAGAGACCCAGCACCTGAGCCAGCATGTGTGTGGAAGGTGCACTTGACCCCCAGCACCCTGACAAGGCAAATGGGTGTCCCAAACAGGGAACCACGGCCCCAATCACCTATCCCTCTTCCCTCCTCTAGCTCCTCCTATAATGGCAAACTCTCCCTGAATAATTTCAAGAATTGTTTTACTGTCAAAGTATAAAGTTCAGACAGCCTAGGTTCATCCATGAGTTATAAGGAATACTCATGTGTTTAAGATCAAAACAAACACTTAAGAAAAAGGTTTTTGATGGCAACTGGTCTATTGGCTTTCTGATTAATGGATTTAATTTATATTCTTTGCTTTTTAGAGTTCCACATGGTATAAAGAATTTCAACAACTTTCTGGTTTTGTATGAAGTAGTGAGATTTCCAGCTCCCATTCAAGGAAACATTCATTTATCTGTTTTGGATTCCATCCATAGATATCCAATAACCCAGTACCTTTTTTTTTCCCCCTTCATGCTACTTTCAGGAAAAGACAAATGATCAAGTAATCTCTTTTTATTAGGATTTTTAAGAGGCAGCTTCTCGCTTCAGTATTATATCAGAAACTGTTGTACTCTCTGTAGCTAAAGTACTGCCCAGGGATGACCGCAGTTCCTAATCTTGACTCGACAGCATTACGTGATCTGAAGGACACACAGTCATAAGTCAGCTTCCATTTGTTCAGTGTTTTGACTCTTTGACTTGCAAGGCCCCAAAGGTAAGACATCAGTTAATGAGACTGCTCAGACAGAGCTGAAACAACCTGCTCAGAACTGTTCGTTTGGTATACCATTGGGAACATTGTACTATTTCCAAGGAATCAGGATGAGAGGCATACTATAAATAGGACTCTGGTGTCCCTGTGAATGTGACAAATGTGGGAAACACAGCTTAACCCATGAAATACCATTTGGTTTATAGGCCTAGAAGCTACTCAAATTTAGATGAGAAACTCACAGTAGGGTTAAAAGGGAAGGGTGTTGACCAAGCTTGAGGACTACTTCTGAGCATCGTCTGAAAATCCAGGATCCAGGTAGTCTCAAGCTTCTGTTTTTCCTGTGTGTCCTTACTAAGCTTTTTTTTTTTTTTGGATTTAGTTTTTTATTTTTATTGGAAAGTCAGATATACAGAGAGGATGAGAGACAGGGAGGAAGATCTTCCATCTGATGATTCACTCTCCAAGTGAGCGCAACGGCTGGTGCTGTGCTGATCTGATCAAGAGCCAGGACCTTCTACGTCTCCCATGTGGGTGCAGGGTTCCAAAGCTTTGGGCCATCTTCGACTGCTTTCC